TGTTAATTTTCCCTCAGATTTCCAACAACCATCTCACCACTTCGCAATAACTCACAATAGGCAACCCTTCTCACGTCTACTTCCAGAAGCAAACCTTTGCCAAGGAAACTTCTTCCAAGGAAAAGTGCCATGTTTATTGTAATATTTGGGTGCAGGCACACCTTGCAGATACTGCAGATTTGGTTCCAGACCACCAGAATAAAGCAAATTATACAATAAAGTGAGTCATATGAATTTTCTGGTTTCCCAGTGTATATAAAAGTTATATTTCTACTATATCATAGTCTATTAAGTGGGCAATAGCATTATGTTTTTTAAATGCACGTAATTTAAAAATACTTTATTACTAAATAATGTTAATAATTATCTGAGCCTTCAGCAAGTTGTAATCTTTTTGCTGGTGGAAGGTGTGGTCTTCAAGTTGATGGCTGCTGACTGATTAGGGTGATGGTTGAGGAGGCTGCGGGGATTTCTTTTTTTTTTTTTTTAAGGCTGAGTCTTGCTCTATTGCCCAGGCAGGAGTGCAGTGGCACAATCTCAACTCACTGCAACCTCTGTCTCCTGGCTTCAAGCAATTCTTGTGCCTCAGCCTCCCAAGTAGCTGGGATTACAGGCACCTACCAGCACGCCCAGCTAATTTTTCTTGTATTTTTAGTAGAGACAGAGTTTCACCATGTTGGCCAGGCTGGTCTCAAACTCCTGACCTCAAGTGATCTGCCTGCCTCAGCCTCCCAAAGTGCTGAGATTATGGGCATGAGCCACCGCGCCCAGCCAGCAATTTCTTAAAATGAAATTTTAATCATGCAGTTGCTTGCATCAATTGACTCTTCCTTCCAGAAAAGATTTATCTGTAGCATGCCATGCTGTTTGATAGCATTTTACCCACAGTAGACCTTCTTTCAAAATTGGAGTCAACCCTCTCAAACCCTGCCATTGTTTTATTAACTAAGTTTATGCAATATCATAAATCCTTTTTTGTCATTTCAACAATATTCATGGCATCTTCACTAGTAGATTCCATCTCAGGAGACCATTTTCTTTCTCATCCAGAAGTAATTCCTCATCTGTTCACGTTTTATCATAATGTTGCAGCAATTCAGTCACATCTTCAGGATACTGTTCTAATTCTAGTTCTCTGGCTATTTCCACCACATCTGTGGTGGTTTCCTCCACTGAAGTCCTGAACCTCTCAACATCATTCATGAGGAATAGAATCAGCTTCTCGTCAATGTTGATATTTTTATCTCCTCCCATGAATCACAATGTCCTCAATAGCATCCATCTACAATGGTGAATCCTTTCCAGAAGGTTTTCAATTTACTTTTCCCAAATCCATCAGAGGAATCATTATCTATGGCAGCTATAGCCTTACAAAATGTGTTTCTTAAGTAATAAGACTTGAAAATCAAAATAACTCCTTGATCCATGGGTTACAGAATGGATCTTGTGTTGTAGGCATGAAAAAAACATTAATATTCTTGTACATCTCCAACAGAGCTGACTAGGTACACTGTCAATGAGCAGCAATATTTTGAAAGTGTGTGTGTATATATATATATATATATTTTTTTTTTTTTCCCCCTGAGCAGTAGGTCTCAAAAGTGAGCGTAAAATATTCAGTAAACCATGTTATAAACAGATGTGTTGTCATCCAGACTTTGTTGTTCCATTGACAGTATACAGGCAAACTAGATTTAGCATAATTCTTAAGGGCCCTAGGACTTGCAAAATGATAAATTAGCACTGACTTCAACTTAAATTCTCTAGCTGCACCAGCCCCTAACAAGACAGTCAGCCTGTCAAGCATTGAAAGTGGCCACTGACTTCTCCTCTCTAACTTTAAAAGTCCCAGATGGCATCTTCTTTCAATAGAAGGCTGTTTAGTCTACATTAAAAATCTGTTATTTAGCCACCTTCACCAATGAGCTTGGCTAGATCTTCTGGATAACTTGCTCCAGCTTCTACATCAGCACTTGTTGCTTTACCTTGCACTTTTATGTGACGGCGATGGCTTCTTTCCTTAAGCCTCATGAATCAACCACTGCTAGTTTCAAACTTTTCTTCTGTAACTTTCTCACCTCTCTCAGCCTTCACAGAATTGAAGAGAGTTAGAGCCTTATTCTGGATTAGGATTTGGCTTAGAATGTTGTACCTGGTTTGACCTTCTGTCCAGACCATAAAACTTTCTCCCCATCAGCAATAAGGCTGTTCCACTTCCTTGTCACTCACGTGTTCACTAGAGTAGACTTTAAATTTCCTTTAAGAACTTTTCCTTTGCATTCACAACTTGGCTATTTGGCACAAGGGGCTTCACTTTTAGTCTGTCTCAGTTCTTGACAACCTAACTTTTCCATTAAGCTTAATCACTTCTAGCTTTTGATTTAAAGTGAGAGACATGTAAACTTTTTCCTTTCACTTGAACACTTGAAAGGCCATAGTAGGGTTACTAACTGGCCTAAATTTGATATTTTTGTATCTCAGGGAACAGGGAGGGGAGAGAGAGGGAGGGTGAGAGAGAGAGAGAGAGAGAGAGAGAGAGAGAGAGAGAACGTCGGTAGGTGAAGCAGTCAGAATACATACAACAATTATTAAGATCGCCATCTTATATGGGCATGAGCCATGGTCCCGCAAAACAATTACAAAAAGTAACAGCAAAGATCACAGATCACCATAAAAGATATAGTAACAATGAAAACGCCTGAAACATTGTGTGAGTTTCCAATGAAGAGAACAACTACTGTTGGAAAAATGGCGCTAATACATTTGCTTGATGCAGGGTTGCCACAAACCTTCCATTTATAAAAAACAGTATTCGAGCAACATCTGAGAAGTCCAATAAAGTGAGGGACAATAAAATCAGGTATGCCTGTATTTCGTAACCATTTTACATGTGTAAAACTGTGCCACCATTTTTATTAAGGTCCCATCTTCTCTTTACATGTCGCTGATGAATTGTTTTAGTGTTATGCCCTAACCCCATCTTTCCCATAAGCTCTGTGGTTTTTATTGCCCATTTTGTGCAGTGTAGTGATTTTTAGGAACACACAGGCCACATTACAGCAGAACTAACTGTAAAATCACATGACAGTATCTCCCCAGATACACTCATTATTAGACATAGATTTGAAAACTGGAGAAATCACTAATCCAAAGTAATAAGATTTCAATCCAATTTCACTATTTAAAAATTTCAAACTAAAAGGTTAAAAGCAATTAATACCATTTGGGATATTATGGTAATAATGTAGAAAATGCTTTCAGTTGTTACACTTCTATTTTCTAGAGACTTTATGAATATTAGAAGACGGTTCCAAGGGAAAACAAACAGTACTAATTCCTTTTTTTTTTTTTTTTTTGAGACAGAGTCTCACTATGTTGCCCAGGCTGGGTGCAGTGGTACGATCTCAGCTCGCTGCAACCCCTCCACCTCCTGGGTTCAAGGAATTCTCCTGCCTCAGCTTCCCAAGCAGCTGGGACTACAGGCGCCCACCACCACGCCCAGCTAATTTTAGTATTTTTAGTAAAGATGGGGTTTCACCATGTTGGCCAGGCTGGCCTTGAACTCCTGACCTCAGGTAATCCATCCACCTTGGCCTCCCAAGGTGCTGAGATTACAGGCGTGAGCTACCACACCTGTCCCAAACAGTACTGATTTCAAAGGGAGTAAGTCAGTAATTTATGAAGCCAAGCTATTCAGCATGCATCTTTTGCTCTCATTGGGCTGTAACCTTTCAAATCACACAAAAATACCCTGTTAATCTCAGTTTCAATGCTTTTATCCATTCTCCTTGCACGAGGTAGCTTTCTCTTTCTTCTTGGTCTCACCAAATCATACACTCTTGACTTAAGTCCATCATAGATCATTCCCATCTCCCCCTCCATTCTTTACTGATGCTCTGTCCCTCTGAGTTCCTACAACACTTATTGCTGGATTTCCACATTTGTAATCTTATGTTATTTGGTTTGAACAGATAAGCTCCTTAGCAAAAGAATCCTCCTAATAAGGCTGGGTGCGGTCGCTCACACCTGTAATCCCAGCACTTTGGGAGGCAAGGTGGCGGATCATGAGGTCAAGATCAAGACCATCCTGGCCAACGTGGTGAAACCCCATCTCTACTAAAAATACAAAAATTAGCTGGGCGTGGTAGCGTGCGCCTGTAGTCCCAGCTACTTGGGAGGCTGAGGCAGGAGAATCACTTGAACCTGGGAGGTGGAGGTTGCAGTGAACCGAAATCACGCCACTGCACTCCAGCCTGGGTGACAGGAATGACTCCATCTCAAAAAAAAAAAAAAAAAAGAATCCCCCTAATACTTCAGAATCCACACAGCCTAGCATAACACAGAGCACAGAGTCAGTGCTTAAGAAGTTTTTGCTGCTGGGTGATAAATAGGACAGAATCAAATAACCTTCTGGCTTTATTAGCTAGATCTCCACTATTTCTGATGCATATCAGTTCAATGACTTTCAAGAAGCTAAAATTTTAACTTAGTCATGCTGAAAATATATACGGCCGCCAAGGAAATAAAATCCCATAAAACTTGCGCTCTGGTATCTTATCACGAAAAAGGCTAAGCAAGAAATCATCATTGTTACACAACACATTTTTAGATTGTGGACCCCATTTCTACCTTAAAAAATATATGTAAGCAATTTTACTTACAGCAGTTTTATCACAGTGCCAAATGATCCCAGAACCACGGTTTTAAAGCTTTCTTTTAATATTTCTTCTTCTTCTTCTTCTTTTTAAACAAACAAAAGGCTAGGTGGAATTCTACCATATAGAAAAAAGCAGAGCTGATCTTGCTAATGTGGAGGGAGGGGCTTGTAGTTCTGCCTGCCCTGTCCCCAGTCCCCAATTGCAGTGACCCCTTAAGGCATCTCTGAGCACCATCAGCAATAAGAAGCACTCAGAATAATCAGCAAACTGCCATGAATAGAAAAATACTTCATTACTTTTTTAAAAATTTCAGTATCATTATAATATAAAATTAAAACTTACCCGTTTCTACTGAAAACCCTTAGCCATGCTTTGAGGTTTGGTCCTAACAAACACAAGCAAGGCACAGTAGTAAAAGTAGACAAAATAACTGCAAATAAAAATGTTTCCAATGCCAACCTGGAAAAAAAAAAGATGAATTTTTTAAAAAGTGTTAAAGGTACACATACACAATCATTATTATATAAATAAAATATAAAATATCTTCCTCTGCTTTACTTTGAAAGGTAACATAAGTGCCACCAAAATGATGACTATAAATAATTTTACTACCAACATGCAGCTTTAAAAAACAATCTAGCAAATATTTCACTTTAATGATAGATTTCAGAAGTGCAAAACACCCTAGGATCCATGCTGAGACTTTCATTGCAAAAACAAACAAAAGCAGAATCCATTTCTAGATAGTTAGCTTTCTCCTCAATAGTCTCTGGAACTTTCTCTACAACTAATGGTTCAATGTTAACATCTATTGGAACCACCTGGAGAGCTGGATAAACTAAAGATTGGCGGGGGCTCTACCCCTAGAGTTCCTGACTGAAGCTTGAGTATCTGTATTTTGATAAAATGCTGATGCTGCTGGTTTGAAAACCACATGTTGAGAACCACTGTGCCAGACACATTCATTCTACTTTAAAATGGATTAGGCAGGAATCACCATTTCCCATTACAAAGGTCTTGTTCTCTCCCATCTAGAAAAGAATAACCTGTCGGTTTAGTGTGTGTACGTAAAACTATGTATAAATATATATACACACATAAAAAACGGTATACCTAGCAACACATATATGTGTGTGTGTATATGTATATGTATCTCATCACTCATTTCACCATGATCATTAATCACTGCTAAACTGAAGCTTCTCAAACTATGATAAACATTTTGTAAGAAACATTCATGAATTTAGTTTTTAAGAATTTGAAATTTGTCAGTTCAGAAAAAGTGTTAAATTTTATCTTTAAACTATAAACACCACCACCAGTATATTTTGCATACACTTAATATACAAAAATATTAAGTATTTGAATACAGGAATCTATTGACTTTTGTTAAGAAAAACTCCATTCAAGTACTTTAGAATCACATTTATAAGAACTGATATGCTAATTGTAACTAACTTACACATATAATCATAGTAAGTTCTCTCAGAGGTTCTAAGGGCCAGATATTTATTGGTATAGTATAGTTTCTCTACTCTCCCTTCTCCCAACATGTAATTGGATAATAGAAGGCTAGGTAACAAGAGTATTTAATAAATTAAGTTATTCTGCTGTTTTTTAAAAAAGAATAACACTGCTAATGATGTTGGTGCCCTTACTTGATCTATTAATGATGCACATCATGGTTTTTCTAGTTACTAAGAATGAGCACGGTTTGGTAAATGAATGTTTTAAAATATAAATTTAGGGTAAAAGTTTCAAACTTACTCTATTAGTGGTGCTCCATATAGAACAAAAATTACATGAAAGGAGAAACAAGACATAAGAAAGTAGATACAGCATTTCAAAAATCTGGTTACCTAAAAGAGAAATGAATAACCTGAAGACTCAAGATAATGCCTAAAGGACAATAAATTCTTCCATTTTATCTACAAACACAACTTGTTCCCATAATATGTAAAACAGTTCAAATGTTCTTGGGTATACTCAAATCAGATCACATGTCCTGTACCCAGTCACATACACAGCCCTCGATACAGACTAAAAAAGCCTAAAAGGCAAATATCAAACCCCACCCATATTCCACCCGTCCGACCTACATGAGTGTAAAAGAGGTTCTGCTTCCATGATAACATACAGAGCTATGTCATTAATCAGTATTTATTAAATATTGATTGATATCAGAGCTAGTATACAAAAAATACAGTATTATGTGATGACAGAGGAAATATCTGCAGAAAATAACAATTTTTTTCATTTTAAAACAAAATTCCTGGGAAAATTGCACTAAAAAACCAAAATACTAAATAATTCTTGAAATCACACTCATATTACACGACCCATATGAAAAAAGACCTGAACATCTACAAAGAAACATGAGACCTTCTTGATTTGGAGCTTAAGAATATATAAACATAACACATACATTTAGCTTTTCCAATCATAGGCAGTAAATGACCTAACAGACCTTACAACACAGTAGAAAATAATCTTAAGTATGGACATTATTAGTAATAGCCAAGTGAATATCTACTGCAGTGAATATTCTGGAAAATTGATTCTAATATCTGAAAATTATTTAGTCAAGGAAGGCCATGTTGGAAACAAGCATTACCACAGGCTTATATTGCAGTTTCTGAAAAACCCATTAAGTGGCTTTCAAAAATGCAAAAATAAATAAAAATAAACTACAATGTCTTATTGAATAAGGTTTAAAGACACACTGTCACATGTATTTATTTTCAATGGTGACATAAAACAATGACTATACAGGCTCACAATATTATCATAAGCTCTGAAGAAGTCATAATTCCACAATTAATGCAAGGCAGGGATTAATCAAACATTATGGGCAGCCTTCCAGCAAGTAACAGGCTACCAATTTGGTGGGAAAAAATCAGGTTCCCTTTACTCACTGTAAATAACCTAATGAAGACTTGATGAATACTTTATTCTTCCATTAAAAGAAGTACTAGCTCCATCCAAAAACCAGTTATTGAGACATAAGCCTTACCTTGTGTGATAATGAACTTCTTTTAGAGGATGTATTTGGTTTCACCGCTAAATATAGTACTAGATTGACAGCAGTTACAAAACCAGAACAGATGCACAACCATGTCAAGTGTGTTTCCAATATTGAGAAGTTCTCCAAGAAGAGTGATGGAATGAAGACACTTAGGATAATCGAAAATATGCATAAAAGATGGGTATACAGTAGTCTTTTGATATCGGTGTCTTTCATGGTGTTTTCTCGGGTGGCTAGCTAACGAAAAACAAGAAAGGAAGAACATACGCAATAATGACTTTTTCCATTGTCTTAAATGTTTCAACCCCTAAAAATAAGTCATAAAGTCAATTTGCTATGAGCAATGTATTTGTTTCAAAACACAGAAGATGCAGATGTGTAGATGCACATATAGACTTTTTATTCTACCTTTGATTTTCTTAATATGGTACAAACATCTCTTAGAGTCTTAAAAAAACAAATTTACTAATTTCTTAAATATTGTGACTGGTTTCTGCAAAAGGGTCATGTCCTAGGACCAATAAAACAATTCATTTAAACTTTTTTGGCCAATATCACAGAGATGAAATCAACTGTGTGGATTAAATTATCTACTGCCTGTTGGAATTATAACCAAAGTTTATTTATGAGGTTTCCAGAATGCATAAGTTATAATTCCAACAACCCCAAATATATACTTAGGCTAAATTGCTGGGTTTTTTTTACTCTTGTCTAACATTACAGTAGTTCACATCTTCTAGCAAATGCCAAATGACACCAAGTGCACACTCGAATACTCAAATGGTGGCCAGTGGAATCAAGAGTTCAAAGAGCACCACACTAAACTAAGGGATCCTGATGCTTCAGAAATACCAAGATGACAACGTCTGTTACAGGTGTTAAATTCCAACCAAAAGTAGAGCACGAATGGAAGGAGGGAAAACAAATTACTCATCTCTAAAATACACGTATTTAAATTACCTGAGAGTTAATTGTACTGTTAAACAAGGACTTTATTAATTTAAAGTAACAGTCAATATGTTACACTATGCAGAATATTCCAGAAAATAGAAATATCTCAGAAAAAAAAACTACACATACACACACACACAGACACACACACACACACACACGTACAGCGCGCGCGGAGGGGCGCCCGCTAGTGCGAAAAGCAGAAGGGCGAACCTGGGCCTTATCCTAATAGCTCTCATTTAATTCACCCAGTGCTTTTCAAAGGCAGATATTTTACTGATAAGGAAACAAGGCAAACAGGTGAGGTGGTCTAAGGTCCCACGCGCTACAGCTATCTCTCTGGTATAAGGAAATACACTAGGCATGAAGAAGCAAACGGATGGCAAGAAGGGATAAAGGTAAACTTTCCCATAGATTCTCTTAAGCTGATTGAGGGAGGGCAAGGGGATCAGGAATCCATTCTCTCAACAGATAGCCCTTCAGCCATTTTTCTGAGCCACCCTCGGAATCGCAGCTGCCATCAGATGTGGATGTAATACAGTGAGCAGGTACCAAACTCAACCGTTTGCTGAGTGAATGAAGGAACCAGAGTAGGCAAAGTGGGAAACCAACTCTCCTGGGAAACCAGCACCGTGTTAGGCCCTGGCGTGCCCCCAGGGCGCCTGCAGGGGTGCCACGGGCATGACGCGGCCCACCTCGCCAGGCACCGCAGCGGAGAGAAGGCTCTTCAGAGCGGCCCCCAGAGGAGCCTTCACGGGCATCGCCGCACCTCCACCGGCAGCTCCACCCCAACCCTGGTCGCTGGGAATTCTGCCCGACCCTAGGCCGGCGCGAGCGTGGGCAGCGAGGAACCAGCTGAGAAGCAGGATCAAAGAGCTCGGGAGTTGGAGACAAAGAAAAACTGGGGGACAGAGGCAAAAACTCGGATCCGAAAGGGGGTCTGTCCATCAGGGCACGCCGGAAGAGTGGCGCTCGAGCTGACGGCGAGAGCGGGCGGGCCGGGGCGCCGAGGCTCAGGGCTGCTTCGGCAATTCGCGGGGGTGGCTTGCACCCCGGGAGGCGAGAGCGCCTGGGAAGTCCAGCGGGGCTTACCTAACTCTCCCGCCCGCGGAAGGGAAGCGGGGAACTACTACCTCCCACCATCAGGTACGACAGGAGGCCCAGGCCCACGCGCAGACGCAGGGTTGTGGGGCGGACACCCACGGCCGAACAGCCAGTCGCAGAAAGGGAGGGGCGGGCAAATGGGGCAGCCCCACCTAGCCGCTCGCGTTCATTCCTCCCGCGGCTTTCCAGGTTTGGGGTAGGCGGGAGCGGTGGGCTTAGAAGCCGGAAGTGGGTTGACGTAGCCCGGAAGGGGAATACTTCCCAGTTACAGTGTTGATGTTTTCAGGCTGCTGCTGCTCTTGCGGCTAGGGGAACTGTCGTGGGGAAGGATGGTGTGCGAAAAATGTGAGTTAAGGGGCTGCTTCTGCGGGAGGAGGAGGCTGGGATAATCTAACTGAGCTCTCCCGGGAACTTTGCCTTCTCTTTGTTTTTTTCGCCCACAGGTCTCTGATTCTAGCCGCTGTCTTTCTACCCTACCCTTTGACCGTTTTTGCACCTCCCCAACGACCATACAGTCCTATGTATTTTGTACTCAGAATGGTCTCAGTTCTGCACCTCCCTATTTCCATTGCCTTCCCCCAGCCCCAGATCTCATCGGCTCCCCTCCCATATAAAAATGTTCAGTTAAACCCCAGCGACACCTTTCCCTTTTGGCAATTCCTGTCCTTTCCTTTTTATTCGTGTAACAAGTATTGTATTCCTGCCAAATGTTAGACACTGGAACCAAAGACTTAGGACTTTGCCTTATTCATTCTCATTAGTCATTATGCCAGGATATGGCTTAGAGTAAACCCAGAGATGTTTGAATTGAACATCAACGTAAGTGCAAATTATTATTTCCCTAATTTAAATCCTTTAATAAACTCTCAGTGTGCAGAGAATAATTTGGGGATTCTATATTTGGAACCTGACGTTCAGTACCCTCCACACTAAGGCGCCAACTTATTTTTCCAGCTTCATTTTCACTGACCCTCATCCTCTTCACACTTTGACCAAACAAAATACTCTTTGTGCCCATGTGTACCCTAAGCTTTCTATGCCTTTCCTCAGAATGTGTCCGTTATCTAGTTCGCGTTCATCCTCTTTACTCCTTTTTGTTCACAGTCCTGTTGCCACATATTCAAATCCTCTCTCTTGCCTTCTCTCCAAACTTTCTTTTCTTGGATTTCCTTAGCCAGGGTTATTTTTTCCTGCCTGAAATTTCTCCTAGTACTTTAGTTCTCAATTATTATATCTTTTTTTTTTTAGCTTACATTTTGGTTGAATGGTTCTTTTTGGGGGGACGGTCTCTGATCCCTCTGAGAATCTGATGAAAACTGTAGCCTCTTGCCAGGAAAAAAAACTGAAAATATAAAAGGTTTGTGTACAACTCCACCTTGTTCACATATCTCTTAAGATCCACCTGGGGAACCCAGGTTACAGATTGCTGTTAAAGAAATTAGTATACTATAATCTCATTAAAATTTTGTCTGATTCATCACTTTTTCTCAGCACTTTGTATAGTTTATACATCATAGATGCTTAGTAAATATTTATGGAACAAATAGACTTATCGGATTTTTTAAAAGTATAAACAAGAGTGAAAGCTTATTATAAGCCATCTTATTATCCTGCGAATTTTACCGACGGTCAGTCATTCATTGCCCACAGTCAATATGAGTCTTAGTTGACTGGCTGCTTTCTCAGCATTAACAGGCTCCTATGGTAATAGCATTGACAGTCGATACCATTGTGAGCCTTAGGCACAATGTAATGCACTTATGAAATAGTAAATTTTAATTTTCCTTTTACTATCTTGTTCTAACAGGTGAAAAGAAACTTGGTACTGTTATCACTCCAGATACATGGAAAGATGGTGCTAGGAATACCACAGGTATTTCTTCTTTTAGAAAATAGGAATTTAACCAAATACTTACTGTGAATTATATTTTAGCTTTTACATTATTTGTACAATGAAATGTTGTATGTTCAAAGTATTTTATCTATTAAATATTAAAGAATACTGGGTCCCCAAGTGATTTAATATCTTCTATTTAGTTCTCAGTTACTTGTACGGGTTCCCAATATCAGGAGATAGCAAAATTATTAAATGATTGTCAAGTGGTGACAATATCACAGTATTTGATTATCACAGTATTTGATTTGATTCAGCTTATTTAGAGTCTGTTTTTAATTTCCCCACTCTTCTGAGGAGAAATTTTTTTAAATCTTCTGATTTTTATATTCTTGAATAAATAAATGCTTTAACCCATTTTACCTTCATTATCATTAAATCTTTATAATGAAGTATTTACCTTCATTATTATTAAATACATATAGTAAAGTATGTTTTCAAAGCGTAGACAAATAAACATTTTCATTATATTGAAGGTCTATGACACTGAAGTAGTGGCTTCTAGATTTTACACTGTATAGAGTAAATATAGACCCATTCCTAAAGTACTCCCTTGAGTCTGAGAAATAAAATGATGGTATTTTATACAAATTTTTACTGTTTCCCTAATAAATGTTTTCTTTTTAAGCAGCATCTTAATAGCCTATTAAATGAGGATTTAAAAATTAGATACAGGCTACTATTTTGGTAGAAAGTCAAAGAATGAACTTCTTAGTGTTTTATGTTAAATGTATAGAAATAACCCACTAAAATATCTTTTATTCTGATACAGAAAGTGGTGGGAGAAAGCTGAATGAAAATAAAGCTTTGACTTCAAAAAAAGCAAGGTGGGTAAGAGCATCCATAGACAGATCATATAAATTTCCTTTCTTTTAGTATTAAGTCTGCTGGAGTGAATTTGATGTGCATCATTCCATTTGCAATAAAACATAAAGGTAGGTGGTTCCTAGCACTCAGAACCAAGCTATCTGTTACAATCCTGCTGGTTTTACCTTATTCCTCCTTGGCTGTATCAATATATGAAGATATTAGTGTTATTCTCTTACAGTTTCACCAGAAAACATGACTTGTATTTTATCTCCTTCTTAATTATCCTATGAATCAGAGACAGCAGGGAAATGTGGAAAGATGGTAAGCTTTGGAGTGAAACCTGAATTTGAGTCTAGACCCACTGTCTAGCCTTATGACCTTAAGCAAGTTAAGCAAGTTTCTTGACCTTTCTAAACTTTACTTTTTCCTGAGAATTGGGGTAAAAATGTCTCCCATCTTAAAAACAAGTTTTTGATACCATACTTTATTAGATCCAGTCTTAAAAATTCTGCTGGGTATGGTGACTCACACTTGTAATCTCAGCACTTTGGGAAGCCAAGACAGAAAGATTACTTGAGCCCAGGAGTTTGAGACCAGCCTGGGCAACATGGTGAAACCCTGTCCTTACAAAAAATGGAAAAATCAGGTGGGTGTGGCAGCACGTGCCTGTAGTCCCAGCTACTCAGGAGGCTGACATGGGAGGATCACTTGAGCCCAGGGAGGTCGAGGCTGCACTGAGCCAGGATCGCACTACTGATCTCCAGCCTGGATGACAGAGCAAGACTCTTTCAGAAAAAAATTCCGTGAACCCTTTCATCTGCCATCTGATTTCTTTGCTCCCCTTCACATCAGAGGTTTTCCAAAGTCTTATCTAGACACTTTCTCAGTGTCCTTAAGTTCCTTTCCCTCTTTTAGCCCCTCCAGTTGTATGTTATTCCCACAAAAGCCCTGAAACTGTTCTTGTTGAGATCACAAGCGACCTTTAAAACTGATTCTGTTCTTATTTAGCCTCTTCATAATTCTCTCGTGTTTTTCTCTTGGCTCCTGGGACACCACACTCTCCTGGTTTTCCTCCCAACTCACTGGCTATTCCTTCTCAATTGAGTACTTCAGGACTCAGTCCTAGGCTTTAAAAATTATTATAAATGCATAAACTCTCCTAAAGTGACTTTAATCTACTGGCTTTAAATTCAAGCTATATGTTTATACACACACACACACACACAATATTATTATATATATAAAATAGGTCCCGAATTTATACCTCTGGCCTGAGTTCTCTGAGCTCCAAACATGTATCTAGCAGCTTATCTGACATACCTCATTTATTGTCTTAACAGGCCACTTCTTTTTCCTTCCATCTTCTCATCATAGTAGCACCACTGTCTAATCCAGTTGTTCAAGCCTAAAAGCTACAATTCTTCACTGAGTCCTCCCTTTCCCCTACTTCCCCTATCCATCAACAAGTTCTTTGGATCTACCTCCAAAATGTAAAATATAACCTGAAACCACCTGCTTCTGTCCATCTTGCTGCTATTATCCTGTTCCAAACCACTGTTATTTCTTACTTGGAACTGTAATAACCATTGAACTATCTTCCTGCTTCTCTAGTTTCCCTCAGTTGTCTCATAGTAACAAGAGCGATCCTTTACAAAGTTCCTTTGCTTAAAACCCGCCACTGGTTTTCTTTTTCACATAGCATAAAATCTAAACCCCCTACCATATTCTTACAAGGTCCTCCTTGATAGAACCCCTCACACCTCTCTGGCTTCGTATTGTACTACACTGATCCTCACTCATCATACGCCATCCTCATTAGTTCCACCAAAGCCACTCCCATCCAAAGAGATTTCTACTTGCTGCTGTCCCCTAGGAGTCTTCTGTTAGAGCTTATGTGTCTGGCTCCTTCTTGTTGTTTGGGTCTCAGCTGATGGGTCACTTCCTCAGAGAAGGTTCCCTAATCAGAATGTAAACTAATCTCTTCTTTCCTTTTCCTCATCTCTGCCTTAGTATCCTGTTAGAATTTTCTCTATAATGCTACTATTTGACAAGCTTGCTTGTTTTATTAGATTCTCTGTTTCCTTACTTACTGTTTACCTCTTCTCACTAGAATATCATCTGATGAGGGCAAGGGCTTTGCCTATCATGTTCATCTTTGGTATTTAGAACAGTACTTGGTACTTGATAAGCACTCAGTAAATATTTGCTGAATGAATAAATACCTGTTTTATGATGTCATCCTGAGGATTAGAAATAGCAACAATAAAGCCTTAACTACATACAGTGCGTGGCACATAATGGGATCTTTAATGCAGAGTCACACTGTATGTTGTTGACTGACTTATTGATGTCTTTGAGGACCATTCAGATATTATTGACTGAGCTATTATTTGTACAGATTTTATGGTTTTATATACTTCCAGTTCCTTTATGCTCTCAAACTTACTCTGATGTCATTAAAAAGTAGCTGTTACTCTTGGGTACTGTCTCACTTTGGAAAATGTACTACAGTATTGCTTTGAATCTATGGTACTGTTATTTATAAGATGCATTGTTACTTTAAGAAAAAACTCTGCCAGTTTTAAGATTTCCAAGGTTAAAATGTGTGTTTTTAAATAATAAAATATGGTTTTAAGAAAAAATAGCCTCTAGAAATACGTGTCCAAGCAAATTGAACTTATTGAAGGGAAGAAGAGTACCTATCTTCGTTTGTGGGGAATAAAGTGATATTCTCAGCCGGGCACGATGGCTCACACCCTGTAATCCCAGCACTTTGGGAGGCCAACGCAGGCGGATCACCTGAGGTCGAGAGTTTGAGACCAGCCTGACCAACATGGAGAAACCCCGTCTCTACTAAAAATACAAAATTAGCTGGGCGTGTTGGTGCATGCCTGTAATCCCAGCTACTCGGGAGGCCGAGACAGGAGAATCGCTTGAACCCGGGAGGCAGAGGTTGCGGTGAGCCAAGATCACGCCATTGCCCTGCAGCCTGGGCTATAGAGTGAGATTCCGTCTCAAAAAAAAAAAGAAGTGATATTCTCTGTGGTTTGGAAAAATCTTTGTAAATGGGCTGTTATGCTATACCCAACAGGAGACACTAGGTCTAGGACAGTGTTTCGTATCTGGTATATGAGGATCATTACAAAAACTCATTTTGTAGTTAGGGAAGCACATTTAAAGCAGAGTATTATTGCCATTTTAGGGGGAAGTATTTCTTTTTTTCACTCCAGTCACTGTAAGATGGCATTTTTATATAGTAGAAGCCCTTTTATCTAAAAGGATTGAGTCAGTTAATTAAAAATGTCAGCTAATGTAAGCAGTCATTAAAAGATACACATACCTTATTTTAAATTAAAGCACATAACTGTAGATGTATTAATCATATGGTATTGAAACAAAGCCTTTTGAGCATAAATCAACTGATAAGTGCTCTACATGATTGTCATCACAAAAATCACAATCAGAATATGTTCAGTATCTTTAAAGTGGAGCAAAAATTGATGCGTGAGGTGTGGAGTTCCTTTCCTAGTGATTTTCCCCCAGTTGTCAACAGTTGTCTTACCCATACCTAATTCAATAGCAATTCCGATTATTCCTAGTCGTCCTGAAGTAGTCACTTAGGTTTTATGGAATCAGTCACTCTTTTTGCACCGACATTTCATCAGTTTCCATAATATTTTTGTCACACAAATAGAATGACAGATACAATTGATACGAACACGTCAAGAATAAATTCTGTACAACTGACTATAAGTATATATCTCACATGGACAGAGCAGAGCAGAGATGTACAGGCATATCAGACAGTAGCCATCTGGAATAGGCTAAACCCATCAATTGTAGAGGTTGATGGAGGGATGAAGAGCATGGATTAATCCTGTGTGTTGCGCAAGTGGGGTTATTTAAGAGTGTGTTTCTAGTGTAATATACAATTTTCTCTCATTAAAAAAAATTTCTAGATTTGATCCATATGGAAAGAATAAGTTCTCCACTTGCAGAATTTGTAAAAGTTCTGTGCACCAACCAGGTTCTCATTACTGCCAGGGCTGTGCCTACAAAAAAGGTAAGTTTATTTTAATACCATTTTTCTATTCATAAAACCTACTTCATTTGCTGCTAATTTGGTTAACAGAAACGATGTAGCCTGTCATAAATTCTGTTAACCAAACACTCTTTATCCTAAGGCAAAATGGAACCTAAAACCTGTTTATAATTAAAAGTATATATATATATGTTTTTTTTTCTTTTCTTTTCTGATGCTGTTAAATTATATTTTAAGCTTCAGGATTGACTTAAACCAAACAGTTGGTATTATGATTTGATTGATCACGTATCTTCTTTTGTTTCAGGCATCTGTGCGATGTGTGGAAAAAAGGTTTTGGATACCAAAAACTACAAGCAAACATCTGTCTAGATGTATTGATGGAATTTCTGACTTTCTAAATGATTTTACTTTCTGCCTTGAATTTTCAAGGCATAGATGTCAACTTACAGAATAACGTGTTTTAAGACAATTACGTTTAAACCAGAGAATTTGATTGTTATTCATTTTGCTCTCATGCTCTAAACAGCAACAGTGTAACTAGTCTTTTGCCGTAAATGGTTTTTTCCTTATGAGCATTTTATTGAACTAAGTGGCAAATTCCATGAAAAATTTCTCAGTTCTGTATGCACTTTTAACATTATTCATGTAATTCTCCCCCCCCCCCACACACTTTATTTATAGATACTGCAAAAGTGAGAAGGAGGTAATAGATATTTTGCTCTGAATTTGGCATCCAGAGTTAACAGTTCTCCCCTAACTCCCTTACTCATGTCATAGTTATTAGGATCAGCAGCCTCTTAACTAATTGCAGTTTCTTAGGATGTATAAATGTTTCAAGCCATTATTGCTGAATGGTTCTTTAGTTATTAACCTAGACCCAAATCAAAGACCAGTTTTTATTTGTTCTTGCCGCCAAAGTGCCAGTTCCTTTAATATGTGACCAGGAACACAAGGAATATCCATATGTCCAAATAAACACACTGAATTTTAGAAAAACTTACTACTTTGAATTCAAATTGTCATGAAAACCAGAACAGTGTTTGTCCATGTTGCATGTAATGAACATAAATCCCTGCTCTTTGAGAAAAGCTCTTTGAAGCAAAAACCAAACTTACTTTTTTTTACCTCCTGTCTCGCTCCCTAAAAGAAAGAAATAAAGCAAACATCTTGACTCTCCCTTTTTAAAATTTGTCTGTTTGTTTGTTTGATACAGGATCTCACTCTGTTGACCAGGCTGGAGTGCAGAAGTATCATCAAGCTCTCTGCAGCCTCCATCTGCTGGGCTCAAGTAATCCTTCCACCTTACCCTCCTAAGTAGCTGGGGCCTACAGGTGTGTGCCACTGTGCTCAGCTAGTTTTTATTTTTAGTAGAGACAAGGACTTGCTATGTTGCCCAAGCTGTTCTCGAACTGATCTCAAGCAATCCTCTGGCCTCAGCCTTCCAAAGTGCTGGGATACAGGTGTGAGCCACAGCACTCGACCTCTCGCTCTCTTTTTTTTTTTTTGATACTACAGGTTTCAAATGAGTACTTTTCTTATGTTGCCTTCAGAGGTTCAGGACTTCTGCTTTTAAAATCTGCAGGCTACCGTGGGAGACCAAAAAAGCATTCCCCATTTCCAACTGCAGTATGTATAAATACGTATCACTATAAAATGTGTAGAATAGATAGTGTGATAAGATATATGAATGGCATTTGTGTTGGTCATAAAATTTTGATGAAAAGCATTTAAAGTTCTAACTTTATAAGGCTTTTCAAAATGTGTTTTTCTGAGATACTTCGTTATTTATTCATATCCACAAAAATGACAAGGATAATGCAAAATATAATAAATAATTTCTCTGAGAGCAGGAAGTATCCTCTCATGCTGAATCAGTTTGAGGTTTTTAATTAAAATTATAACACAGGGAACTCATAACAGGATCTGGTCAGAGAGTGTCCTAGAGCCCTTAAAGATGGGATTTGTTGACTTGGAGGACAATACATTTCTCAGGGATCAACTGGAATCTGGACTTGCGTAACTCACATTTCATTTTTTTTTAAATAATTTCAGTTTTTATTTTAGATGTAGGGAGTACATGTGCAGGTTAGTTATATGGGTATATTTTGTGATGCTGAGGTTTGGCATACAAATGATCCCGTCACCCAGGTAGTGAGCATAGTAGTGTCCAACAGTTGGTTTTTCACCCCTTCCCTCCCCTCTTCCCTCCGGTAGTCCCCAGTGTCTGTTCTCATCTTTATGTCCATGTGTACCCATTGCTTAGTTCCCACTGATAAGTGAGAACATGCGGTCTTTGGTTTTCTATTCCTGTGTTTATTCACTTATGATAATGACTTCCAGCTGCATCCATGTTACTGCAAAAGACATGATTTTCATTCATTTTTATGGCTGCATAGTATTCTATGGTCTATATGTACCAGACTTTCTCTATCCAGTCCGCTATTGATGGGCATCTAGGTTGATTCTGTGTCTTTGCTGTTGTGAATAGTGCTGTGATGAAAATGTAAGTGTATGTCTTTTTGGTAGAACATTTTCATTTGGATGTATACCCAGTCATGGGATTGCTGGTTCGAATGGTAGTTCTGACTTCTTTGAGAAATCTCCAAACTGCTTTCACAGTGACTGAACTAATTTGCATTTCCATCAGTGTAGGCGCATTCTACATTGCACTGGCTTCTACAGTGTAGAAGCATTCCCCTTTTCCCACAGCCTCACCAGCATCTGTTATTTTTTTGACTTTTTGATAATAGCCATTCTGACTGGTGCGAGATGGTAAGTCATTGTGGTTTTGATTTGCATTTATCTAATTAATAATGTTGAGCATTTTTTCATGTTTGTTAACTACTTGTATGTCGTCTTTTGAAAAGTGTCTGTTCATGTCTTTTGGCATTTTTTAATGGTTTTTTGTTTGTGTGTGTGTATTTTTGTTTTTGTTTTTGTTTTGAGATGGAGTTTTGCTGTTGTCACCCAGGCTAGAGTGCAATGGCACCATCCCATCTCACTGCAGCCTCCGCTTTCCAGGTTCAAGCGATTCTCCTGCCCCAGCCTTCTGAGTAGCTGGGATTACAGGTGCCTGCCACCGTGTGCAGCTAATTTTTGTACTTTTAGTAGAGACAAGGTTTCACCATGTTGGCCAGACTGGTCTGGAATTCCTGACCTTAGGTGATCCACCCATCTCAGCCTCCCAAAGTGCTGGGATTACAGGAGTGAGCCACCGCGCCCGGCCACGAGTTACTTGGTTTTTGTTTTCTGAATTGTTTTAGTTCCTTACAGATTGTGAACATTAGACCTTTTTCAGATGCATAGTTTGTGAATATTTTCTCCCATTCTGTAGGTTGTCTGTTTACTGTATTGATAGTTCCTTTTGTGCTGCAGAAGCTCTTTAGTTTAATTAGGTTCCACTTGTCAATTTTTGTTTTTGTTGCAATTGTTTTTGAGGACTTAGCCATAGGTCTTTCCCATAGCTGATGTCTAGATGTTATTTCGTATTTTTTCTTCTAGGACTCTTATAGCTTGAAGACTTACATTTAAATCTTTTATTTTTATTTTATTTTTTTAGACAGAGTCTCCCTCTGTTGCCCAGGCTGGAGTACACTAGTGCAATCTTGGCTCACCACAACCTCCATCTCCTGGGCTCAAGCGATTCTCATGCCTCAGCCTCCCGACCTAGCTGGGATTACAGGCGCATGCCACTATGCCTGGCTAATTTTTCTATTTTGGGGACGGGATTTCACCATGTTGGCCAGGCTGGTCTTGAGCTCCTAGCCTCAAGTGATCCACCCACCTCAGTCTCCCAAAGTGCTGGGATTACAGGCATGAGCCACTGCACCCGGCCCCTTACATTTAAATCTTTAATCTATCTTGAGGTAATTTTTGTATATGGTGAAAGAGGTCCAGTTTGATGATTCTGCATATGGCTAGACAGCTATTCCAGCACCATTTGTTGAATTAGGGAATCCTTTCTCTGTTGCTTATTTTTGTTAACTTTGTCAAAGGTCAGATGGCTGTAGGTATGTGGCTTTATTTCTGTCTATTCCATTCCATTGGTCTATGGGTCTGTTTTTATACCTGTACCATGCTGCTTTGGTTACTGTAGCCTCCTTATAGTATAGTTTAACTCAGGTAATGCGATGCCTCAGCTTTGTTTTATTTGCTTAGGATTGATTTTTTGGTTCCATATGAATTTTAGAATGGATTTTTTTTTTTTTTTTTGAGACGGAGTATTGCTCTGTCTCCCAGGCTGACTGCAGTGGTGCAATCTCAGCTCACTGCAACTTCCCTCCCAAGTTCAAGCAATTCTCCTGCCTCAGCCTCCTGAGTAGCTGGGTTACAGGTGCCCACCAACTATGCCCGGCTAATTTATGTAATTTTAGTAGAGATAGGGTTTCATCATCTTAGGCAGGCTGGTCTTGAACTCCTGACCTTGTGATCCACCCACCTCGGCCTCCCAAAGTGCTGGGATTACAGGCATGAGCTACTGGGCCTGGCCGGATTTTTCTAATTCTGTGAAAAATGATGTTTGTAGTTTGATAGGAATAGCATCGAATCTGTAGATTGCTTTGGGCAGTATGGTCATTTTAATAATATCGATTCTTCTAGCTCATGAGCTTGGAATGTTTTTCCATTTGTTTGTGTCATCTCTGATTTCTTTCAGTGTGTTTTGTAGTTCTTGTCCAGCTCACATTTTATCTTCATACTTTGAGTAGCCTCTTTCCATGAATGGATCATCCAGTGGCCACACTTAGGTTCTCCTATGGAGATTTTTGTTGTGTTGTACCTCAGAACCATCTCCATATTCTCTAAATAATGATAATGATGGTCATAAATTGAGTAGAAGTATTTACTAGATGAGGAGGAAAACCCTAAAACAAAACATGAACATAAAATATTTTTAAAAGGAAGGCATACAAACAGACACTATAACCAAATAAGATGACAGAATTAAGGCCTTATGCCACAGCCAAAGTTGAAAAATACAAAGCAGAAAAAAAAGGTTAAAAACATGAAAGAATTAAAGCCAAACAACTTTTATCAAAATAAATATAAAAGTGATGAAACAACTTAATTGTTAATCAGATTGTAATATAAAAGATGCTAGAAACAAATGCCAATAGAACACTTAAATACATTTTACATATTCATCCATTAGAATATATAGCTGTCAGAACGATAGAAGAATTACATGTGTGTGCAGAAGTTTATGTATCCATATGGAAAACACAGGAAGCTAATAGTACTGTTTTTCTCTGGAGTGGGTGTAAGGGTAAAGTAGAGACTTAACCCTTTACATCCTTATGGCAGCCTTCAGATACCTTTTAACTCCCAGTTCCCTTACCTGGGGGTGTGCATCCTAGAATCCTTGACCCATTAGAAAATATACTGTAGACATCATACTGTTTACCCTTTAATACTATGTATGTACTTCATAAGAACAAGCATGCTATCTTACCCAAGTACAGCTACCAAGTTTAGAAATTTAACTTTGACATAATACTTTACGTCCATATTTCAATTTCATTTGCTGTTTTATTGGTAATTTTTTTTCAGCTCGACGATCCAGCCTAGGATCATACGTCGTATTGCCATAACTCTCTAATCTGGAGCAGTTCCCCAGCTTTTCTTTATTTTTTGTAATAGTAATACATTTGAAAAATACAGGACAGCTAAAGGATGGAGTGTCCTTCTATTTGGGTTTTTCTGATGCTTCCTCGTGGTTAGATTTGGGTTGTGCAGTGTGGGTTGAAATACTGTAAGTGATATGTATTGCAGGTATACATCCAGATGCACAGAATGTCCATTTGCCCCTTATTCGTGATACTAATTTTGATCACTTGGGTAAGATGTTGTCCAGTTTCTCCACTCTATCGTTATTGTTACTGTTTTTGCTTTTGCATTAGTGGGTAATTTGTGAGGAGAAACTTTGAGACCTGGTTGACAATTCTGTTCCTCATCAAATCTACCCCTCCTAGATTTAGCATCCTTTGACGATTCTTGTCTGAATAAATTTGTACTAGGATGTTTCCAAAATTGTGATTGTTCTAACTCCATTATTATTTCTGTATTAATTAGTTGTCATTCTACTGTAAGGAAGAGGTTTCCCTTTATCATCAACTTCGAGTAAGTACTTTTTTCTGAGCCATTTGAATATTCCTTACAGATGTGATACCTCTTTACCCCAATTACTTAAGTTTGTATTTCCGAAGAACAAGGGTGTTTTCTTGCATAGCCGTAGCACAATTACCAAAATCAGAAAATTAACATTAATACATCACTACTGTCAAATCTTTTTCATATTTTGCTAATTGTTTCAGTAATGTGAAAAAAAAATCTGTTCTGGGATCCAGTCTGGAGTAGTATTACATTTAGTTGTCATGTGTGTAGTCTCCTTTATTCTGGAACAGTTCTTCAGCCGATCTTTCAAAATGCCAAGGTCATGGGCCAGTTGTACTTTTTTAAAAAGAAAATTCAACTTTTATTTTAGACTTGGGGTATATGTGCAAGTTTGTTTCTTGCCTTTCCCTCTTCCTATTATATTGCGTGATGCTGAGGTTTGGGACACCATTGATCCCATTGACACCCAGGTAGTGAGCATAGTACCCAATAGGTAGTTCTTCAACCCTTGCATCCTCCCTCCCTCCCTCCTCTAGTAGTTCCCAGTGTCTATTGTTGCCATGCCATAGACTTTTTATAGAGTAACTCTTCATCTGGGTTTTTCAGATGTTTCTTGATGATTAGACTGAGCTTACACATTTTTGGCAGGGATACCACAGAAGTGGCATTGTTCTTTTCAGTGCACCATATCATGGTGTCAGTTGTCTCATTACAAAGATGTTAATTTTGATGACTTGT